TTGAGGGTTCAGTCCCAGGTCATAGTGTGTACAAGAAGCAACCAACTGATGTTTCTCTCTCAAATTGATGTTTCTCTCCCTCTCTCCTTCCCTCCTGCTCTTTCTAAAAATAAATAAATAAAATCTCTTTTTAAAAAGAAGGCTTCTTTGACACTGTTAAGAGAATGAAAAATTGGGGGGAAAATATTTGTACATCCCACGTCAATATTTGCACATCCTGTGTCCATCAAAGGACTGGTATCCAGTATGTATAAAGAACACTCGACAGTAAGAAAACATACCATCCAGTTTGAAAAATGAGCAATGACACAAACAGTCACTTCCCCAAAGAAGATATAAGGTTGGCAAATAAGCACATGGAAAGATGTTCACTATCAGAGCCACTAGGGAAATGCAAATGAAAACCATGGAGATACCACTGTACACCTACTAGAACTGCTTAAGTGGAAAACACTGACGATGCTAAGTGCTGGTGGAGATGCAAAGTAACTGAACTCTCATACATCGCTAGTGGAAATGTAACGGTACAGCCACCGTGAAAAACAGTTTGACCGTTTGTTATAAAGTTAAACATACACCTACCATGTGACCCAATCCTGGATACTGTCACGTGTATCAGCGATGCATTCTTTTTTGTGGCTGAATACTTTTCCATTGGATAAACAAATATGGTATAGCCATGCAATGGAATCCTACACAGCAAAAGAAAGAATTATTGATACATGCAATGACTTGGGTGAATATTTCACAGAGTGAAAGAAGCCAGTCTCAAAAGGCTACATATTGAATGATTTCAATTATATGACATTCTCAGAAATACAAATCTGTACTGATAAACAAGAGATCAGTGGTTGCCAGGGGGCAAGGGATGGTTGTGGCTATAAAGAATGCAAGGGAGGTTTTGAGGTGGTATAACTGTTCTTTGTTTTGAGTGTGGTAATAGTTACATAAATCCACACATGCATTGAATATTAACATTTACATAATGGTACAAAAGATCAATTTTTACTATATAATGAAAAAAATAAATTCTTTAAAAGGCTTAATTTTTATTAGTACTTCAAATTGTTTCTTTCTTTGGCATCACAGTGATTTCTAAGCCTCAGAGCAATGCACTCTAACCAGATTTGGGATGAGTAAGAGGTATTCCTTTCTTTTCTAAATAGGAGAAGGGTGTTTAGGAAAAATAGGTGGGAAAGAAGAGCTGGCACGATGCCTCAGACACAGGGCCACGATTGCATATTACAACAGTGTTCTCGATCTGCTGCAACGGCTTCCCAACTGGTCTGTTTCCACCCTATACTCTACATTGCTACCTTACCATTCTAAAATTCAAACCTGATTATGGGACTTCTTGTTAATGTCTTCAGTGCTACAAGTCCAAATGCCTTAAATGGTTTGTAAAGCCCTGCCTAGTCTGCTGCCAGTCTCTTCAGTCACATCAGTAATTGCTCTCTCTCTTATTCTCTATTTGATTTTGGTTGAAGGTTTCTCATTTTTATTGATCTTTTAAAAAATCCACTTATGGCTTTGCTCTCTTTCTGTATTATTTTTCTGTTCTTTCTTTTGTTGATTCTGCTTTATTATTTCTTTCCTTTTACTTACATTGGGTTTGTTTTGCTCTCCTTTTTCTACCTCCTTAAAGTGTAATCAAAAGTCAAATGCTGTCCTATGGAAATATAGAGGCTGGGGCAAAATTAGGTTTACAGTTGTTTATATGGGAAAGAATTCAATAATTAATAAATATACAAGAATAAACTCAGTTTTGCATATTCACAATTATAAACCTACTTTTGCCCTACCCTGTAATGTGCACCGTACATGAAATTTAAAATTTTCAGTACTCATATCTCAAAAAATAAAAGGAAACAGATAAAATTAATTTAATAATATATTGTATAACCAACATATCCAAATATCGTCATTTCTACATGTAATCAATATAAAATATTTCAATGAGATATTTACATTAAATTTTTACTAAGTCTTTGAAATCTAAGTTCATGTTTTACACTTAAAACATACCTCAATTTGGATGCTAAATTTTCATTGGAAATACTTGATCTGCGATTAGATTTCATAAAATTTACAGTTGGGCAAGTAGGTTCACATACCCAAGTTGTTCCAAATATGCTTAAGTTTTCCTATAATTGAATCAGCTGTCAAAAAGAAATATTTCTTTAAACACAATTGCATTAACAACACTTTTTCATCTTTTGGGAAAGATGAATTTAACACTGAAGCAAAACCTTACTGGTTTGAAACTATTCCTGTTCAAGTTTAATAAATTCACTAACTCTAGTGTGAACTCAGTATTATTTCAAAGGGATAGTGCCTAAACTTAAAAGCAACTTTTTAAAAAAGATTTATTTATTTTTAGAGAGAGGGGAAGGGAGGGAGACAGAGAGAGAGAGAAACATCATTGTGTGAGAGATTGATTGCCCCTTACAAGCCCCCGACAAGGGACCTGGCCCACAACCCAGGCATGTGCCCTGGCTGGGAATCGAACTGGCGACTGTTCAGTACACAGGCCGGTGCTCTATCCACTGAGCCACACCAGCCAGGGCTAAAAGCAACTTTAACATCAATACGTGTTCTTCACAATTTCCTTATAGTTTTTGTGGCAATATATTGCTTTTGAATATGGTAATTAAAATTTTCTGAATATTAATTCATGTTAGAAAAATGTATAAAATTATTATTGATTTGTATTGTTGTTTTTGTTTCAACATAATTTTTTTAAATTTGAAAGTACATTTATTAAAGCGGGAGACAGTGAAACAAGGAAGGGCTTAGAACAGAAGAAGCAACACGGGGAGCGTGAGCAGGGCTTCTTCGGCTCACGAGGGCATCAGAGGAAAGCGGGCCTTGGAGACAGGGTCAGCAGGTTAGCCCGGGGTGAGCTGCCACGGCCCATTGCTCCCCTGGTTGTCAACACCCCGGGGTCCCTTGGGGTGTAGGAGATGCAAACCTGAGAGGGAAGAAAAGCGTAGACGAGTTCCCAAAAAGAAGAACTAGCCTCAATATAACTTCTTCTACTAGTCTAGCTAAGTCGCAAATTAACGTTCCCTTTCTTTGGAGCTCCAAAATCAGCTCATTTATATGCAGTGCAATATCAGTGAAAAAAGCATAATCACACTGTCTTGTATTTTTCATTATTGGATATTTTGGAAGCATTCCTATAGTTTGAAGAAAATCTTGAATTGAAATTAACAGTACAGTAAATAATTGTCACCTGTCAAACCACTGAAATCATTGGCGAAGAACATGAGATCACTACATTTTCTGTATTTTTCAACAGTTTCACAAACTGGCAGTCCCCTGTGAAAAGCTAAAAAATGAGAACCTCTCCCATGCCATTCTTTGCTTTCCAGTGGCAACTTCTCTCTAGTGTCTTCCTGCTGAGGTTATTTCCAGGGCCTTCAGCTAACTGTGTTGCTGTAGCCTATACAGAGTTTCTAATTGCTGTCTATGGAATGGTTGTTCTGAATTAGCTACTCCACCACTATTGAAAGCAGACCCTCTTCCAGTGTCATCTGTTCTTACTCTTCCTCTCCCCAGCAGCCTGTGCTCTGGCCCTATTCAACTATTTAAAATTTCCAGAACTGGCTGTGTTCTCTCTTGTCTGTGGGCCTTTGTACAGACTTCTTTCTCTTTCTTCCCTCACCCGAACCCAAGTACCTTCTACTCATTTTTTACAATTCAGCATAGATATACTTCTTTTGGAGAGCTTTATTGGGCAGGCCTCACTCAAGTAATAGAAACTTTCTTGTGCTAATAAGTCAAAAGGGAGAGGAGGATTTAATGTAAGAGGACAGAGAAACCCTGCGGGGACCTAAAGGCAGAAATCCAGCCAGGCCTCAACCAGGCATTCCTTTTCGCTGGGACTTTATCTCCGTCTCTTGTATCTGTTCTCTGCCCCTCCGAGGAGCTCCTAAGAATCCCAGTTTCTCTCAAGTAGCTTTACTTCTCTTCCCGGAGGGCAAAACTATGCCTTTATTTTCTGATCCTAAGAACTTTGCAGAATATAGCCAATAGAGCTCAGAGGAGGTAAAAAAAAAAAAAAAAAAAAGACAGATGAGTACATTGGACTTTAATATACAGCCCAGCACGTGCTGAAGCATTTCCAAGGCGCTTTAGGAGCCAGAGGAGGAAGCAGCCCCTACTCTCTCTGAGCTGTCAGGAAGACTCAGAAACGACCCCCGATGGTATCGCTTGTCCTCTGATTAGGGAATCCAAAAGAAAAAGAAAAAAACACAAAAAGCAGAGAATCTCTTAAAAAACCTCCCAACCCTCTAGGTGTCCACCAAAATGAAGAAAGAATACCCAATATCTTTCGATACATCACTTGAAGAGACAAAGAATCCTAAAGCAGAGACCTTGGTGATTGATTTCTGTAGCGTTTGAATCATCCGAGATTTCTTCCAGTTCTCTTTCCCATCTTGGGGTCTTTGAACATTTTCTCGCCTCAATCTAGAGTGTTTTCCTCATCCTCATCCTTTTGACTCACCTCTGAACAGCTTTAAGGTTTTGATTTGAATGTTACTTTCTGGAGAAGAAAGAGGCCCCCCTCTGCCCCGCAGTTAGGGTAAACCCCAATGCCACATGCTCCCACTGCAGCCTGCACTTCCCCTTTGTGGACACTCGCCTCATTGTCCTGCCCTGGGTAAGGCAGCTCCAGCCGTCTGTAATCGGTGACAGCAGGGGCCACGTCATCTGGTCCCTGCCTCCTCCCAGGGCTTGGCACAGAGCCTAGCACCTTGGAGGTGCTCAAAAATACTTGTTGCTTCATTGAACTTCAGTAGTATGTGCAAGTTCCTCATTTGAAAGGAAAAAACCAAGGCATAGAGATGGGGAAGTGAGTTTTCCAACAGGCTCGAGCTCGTGGCCAAGCCAGACCTGGCATGTGGGTTAAAGAGCTCTCTGCCCTGGGGTCCTGGGGAGCTGTCTCCTTGCCTTCTTTCCTGCCAGAACCAGCAATGATCAATGCAAACATTGGCTTTTTGTATTATCTAGGCTTTTATTTCTTCTAAAATGTGCACAGAGATGGAACTCTCCGAGGAACATTTTTGATTCATGTAGAGAGAACACTTTTTCAGTAGTGGAAAGTGGATGTGTGTGTGTGTGTGTGTGTGTGTGTGTGTGTGTGTGTTTAAGATTTTATTTATTTTTAGAGAGAGGGGAAGGGAGGAAGAGAGGGAGAGAAACATCATTGTGTGAAACATCAGTTGATTGCTTCTTGCACGTCCCCAACTGAAGGATCTGGCCTGCAACCCAGGCATGTGTCCTGACCAGGAATCAAACCAGCAACCTTCCAGTTTGCAGGCCAGTGCTCAGTCCATTGAGCTATACCAGCCAGGGCAGGAAAGTGGATTTTTTTTTTTAATTTCCCCTAAGTTTTATATTTGAAGACTTTCAAATCTATATGTTTTGCATGAATAGGCCAATAAAGACCCATTTATACTCATCTAGATCAGCAATTTTCAACTATTGTGCTGAAAGAAATTTTAAAACATGCAATACCATATAAGCTGGCTCTAGCATGCCACGGCCTGTGTCCCAAAGACACCAAGGACAGCATCTCTCCTTTTGCATATCTCTGCCTTTGCATATTAAAGTGATTTTACAAATGGATTTCATGGTACTAAAAAGTTTGGTATGCAATACCTGACTATTTAGTCAGGAGCTAAACTGACCTCTTTCCTTGAGATTGTCAAATTAAAAAATAACAGCAACCGACACAATAGCTATCTGGTATGAATGAATCAAAATTACACGTAATTTTTGCCAGGTTGGCAAAAAATACATTTTTGGTGTGCAGCAGAGTTTAATAATTAGTTCGTGTGTGCCAGGAGATGGCCAAGGTTGGAAATCACGGCTGCACATTCATCCATTGCTCACATTTTGCACAGCAGCTCTCCAGCTCTGTCTCTCTCCACCTGTGTGTGTATATATATTCCGTCTTCCATATGTACAGAATATATAGTACATATATGTATATACTGTCTATATATGTATATATCCTATACATATACATGAATGCATACACTTATTTTTTGCTGAACTATTCAAGAGTCAGTTGTGGACTGAAAATTATATTTTACCCTGACCACTTCAATACATGTGCTCTAAGAACAAGAGCATTTTCCTACACAAATACAATATAATTATCACAACCTTACAATATTATTAGCTAATATACATCCATATTCAAATTTATGTCCTTTATAGCTGTTTTGTAAAACCCAGGATCCAATCAAGAATCACAAATTGCCTTGTGTTGCTCTCTAGTCTCCCTTAATCTAGAACAGTCCCCACACTACTTTTTCTGTCATGATATGGACATTTTTGAAGAGTCCAGGCCAGTTATTTTTCAGAATTTCCCAAATATAGACTTGTCTATTTCTTCGTGGTTAGAGTAAGATTAAACTTTTTTTTTTGCAGTGTGGCGGGGGGGGGGGGGCAAACATGTCACTTGTATGGTGCTGTGGGGGTCTTTCCATTGCAGCGCGTTCACTGGAGACGTCCTGGGCCTCGAGGACCTGTGCCAGACCCCCGACTCCCAGGGCTATGCAGAGGTGAGGCCCGGGGAGCGGCGGGTAAAGGCCAAAGCTTTAGCCTCGGCAGAGTTCACAGCCAGCGATGGCTGCCAACTGCAGGGCACTGCTGCTGGGTTACCAAGGCCGAGCTGAGCTCTCCTTCCCACCAAGAGCTCCCATGGCCCGTGGCCAGCCAGTTCCTTGGCCAGTGGGTCACCTGCTGCTGTGGCCGCTCTCTGTTGATGCCGCTGCAAGGGGAAAGGAAGAGGGATGAGGGGGTGGCTGTGCCAATGCAGTCCTACCGGAGAAAAGGGACAGCAGGGGACGGGAGGAAGCAGAATTTTTAAAGGACTGAAAGGGTGAGAGGCAGAGGGGACACACACAGCAAAGAGAAGAGAGTGAACGGCACAGAAGCAGACAGAGACACACAGGCCCCCAGGGAAAAGCACCAGCTGATGCACTTCCTGAACAGCATCTGAGTCTGTTTCAGAGGCGAGTTGGCTCTGAGATTTTGCAAAGTGAGGAGAGTTTGTGTTTACACTGGTCAGACCCAAAGGGCACACAGGTTTCTCCCGAGGGGCCATGTGGGGTCACTTGCTCAGTCTGTACTTTTCCACAACACAGAACTCCTCCTTAGGGCCGCAGAGGCCGGGGCCTGGGGCCAGCAGGTTCCTGCTCTGGCTGAGAACGTCTTCTGTTTATTCACAGACCTGTTGGCTGACAGGGGAGCCTCCTCGGGAATATGTGGAGTGAAGAGGGCAGCAGGAGAAGGGCAGACAGAAGAGAGGGTCCAGAGAAAGGGGCACTAAGAATAGCCTTGCCTCTGTGAGTGGGGAGAAACCAAAATCCTGGGAGCGGCCCAGCGGCTGTGACCTGAGCCAATGGTAGCAGACCAGGCTCTGCTCCTGAGAAAAGGGTCGTAGGGCGGGGGCTGGCGGGAGACAGAGGCTGCTAGGCCCCTGGACTCAGCGGAGTAGAGAAGGGGATCTAACCAGGCTCTGCCAGGGCACAACTCCAGGTGTCACTGGGGCAGGCCTCCTGAAAGAGGAACTGCGTGTGGGCAGAGAGGGCTTTCTGGCAATAATGTACGCTGTCCGTACTTTCCTTTGGCAGGAAGAGAAGAAAATGGAACAAGCGCGGTCAGGAGCTGTAACCTGACCTCAGGGCTCAGAGCTGAACCCAGGTGAAGAAGCCCTGTCCGCCCTTTGCCTTTGACCCAGAGAACAACCCCCAGGCCCTGCGTCTTACTGAGGAGGTTGAGGGGTGTCAAGGGACGGGAGAGGACATCCCGAAAACTCTCCAGCCACTCCTGCTGCTCCTTCTCGCTGGGGCAGGTGAAGACGAATCTGCGCTCAGGCGTGACCACGGTGAGGCCGGCTTTCCAGCGATTCCCTCGGATGCCCTTGGGCAGGTCTGCACACACCTCGTACCCCTGCTCGTTGCTCCCAAGAAACACCTGGCCCAGCTCAAAGGGGTCCTGAAAATAGAGGACATGTGGCCATCAGAGGCCACAGCTGGGTCAGAGGGGCACTTGCAGCCATGCTAGCCTCCAAGCTCTATTTTAGAAAGAGGGGGGCATGTCTCTACTGGGGATTTCTGCTCCATGGGCCCCAGAATTTGAAAGGCTGGCACTATGAAAGAAATCACACTATGCACCAGGAATTCAAGTGCTTTACAGACCGAAACTCCTATAATCCTCGTGGCAACCTCTCAGGAAGGCATTGTAATTAAGCCTATTTTCTGCAGGAGGAAACTAAGGCACAGAGAGCTAAGCACTCTGTCCAGGGCACACCACTAGAAGTAGCAGGGCCGAACCCAGAGCCCGGACAGCGGAGTGCTAGAGCCCACACTCCTAACCACTGCACGCCCCAGCCTTCTGGTTAGAAGTGGGGCCCTGGAGACTAGAGGACAAGAAACAACCTATTTAACTGCATTTTGGATACACATAAAGGCCTTCCTGCAGGTGAGAGGAGAGAGTAGCTTGGTGCACAGGAGGTGACTTAGAGACGAGCGAAGGTGGAGCTGCGTCCCCTGCCAGGACTCTCCAGCCCTGTGGCTTCACCACACTCCCTGACCAGCACTGGCCCCACCTCCCTCTCAGGATGAACTGGGGAAGGGCCAGCCGTGGCTCTTACCAGGGGGTTCTTGTAATAGAGAAGCCTCCGTTCCTGGGGGTCCAGGGCAAACCACCTTTTCTTGAAAGGTTCTCTCTGCTGTAAAAGAGGGAAACTTGTACCAGGGTTGGCTAGGCCAGGAAGCGCGAAGGTCAGAGGGCCAGCCTCCGCTAGCCTAGGGAGCACCCCAGCGCCCCTCCCTGAGGCCCTGGAATTCTGAGGCCCTGCCCGCCCCCCTCAGCTTCACCCTGCTGCCTTCAGGTGCGGCCATGGGTCGGAGAGGCGCTTTCCTCTTTCTCAGACTGTGAACAAGAAATCTCAGAAAAAGTAAGCTGGGGATATCAGAAATGGCTGCCACTCAGCAACGCTGAGAGCACTGGCCTTGGCCAAAGTCTAACCTAAGTCAGGGCAACGAAAGCCTGCAAGGAAGAACCATGGACCGGACCGTGCCCTGGCTGATGAAAGAAGGATACAAACCATGCAAGCTTTTAACTAGTTTTCAAACTGAGGCTTCCTTTCCCACTGATTGCTAACACCTTTCCCTGTAGTCTTAACAACCATCCTGACAACATATTACACCTTTAAAAAAAAAAAAAAAAAAAAAAAAAAAAAGGCCCCTGGTTGTTGTGGCTCCGTGGATTGAGTGCCGGCCTGTGAACCAAAGGGTCGCTGGTTCGATACCCGGCCATGGCCCATGCCTGGATTGCGGGCCAGGTTCCCAATTGGGGGTGCACAAGAAGCAACCACACAATGATGTTTCTCACCTTCTCTTTCTCCCTCCCTTCCCCTCTCTTAAAAATAAATTAAAAAAAAAAAAACACTGGGACGTTGCCCGTTTGGGAGTTTTTTTAGGGAGCTCCCTCTGCTTTTCCCTTCCTTTTCTCTTCTCCTCCTTTCCCTCCTTTCTCTCCTCACAACTACTGCACCCTCTCCAGCCAAACTTCTGACTTCAAGCCTCACCCCGCCCAGTACCCAGGCTGGGTCCGAGATGCCCCTGGGCAGCAGGAGCCTCCATCCCGTCCCCCATCCTCCCTGAGGGGCTAGGATGGGTTTAGCAAATAAGAGCAGAGACTGAGTTTGTGCTGAGAGGGGGGTGCCCACGGGGGCACCCAAGCGTGGGGGTGCAGGTGTGCTTTCTCAGACTAACCTCTAGCCCCTGACTCAGGTCGAGGGTCCCAGCAGGACCCCAGGCCAGGGCAAGGAGGGAGGATGCCCAATGGGCGGGAGACACACTTGCAGTCACACTGGCCCGCTAACCACTTGGTCCTTGGCCCCAGGAACTCACACACTGGCTTACTTCCCTTTCCTCATTGTCCCACCGCCCAATTCCTGCCCTACTGCCCTCTGGAGCAGGGGTCATGAAAGTCCCCCCGGGACCGGTAGAATGTACCTTTGGACCAGTCTTTTCCATGAAGCCTTGTTTGAGGTAGTTCCTGGTGATGAGGGGCACGAGCTGGGGGAAAAGAAATATACGCTGATCCCCTGACTCACACCCCAGTGGTTCAAGGTTCCCCACTGAATTTGGCTCCCCCAAAAAGGGGAAGTTTGGAATGCGGAAGGATGTGCACTCATGGTTCTCAGGGTTATATTTGGAACTTGGTATGGATGCAATATTAATATTTCAACAGAGCCAGACAACAACGCTCCAGATGTTTGCAGGGTTTCCCGGCATGTCTGAATCTTGGTTTAAGGACCCGGTTTAAGGAATACTTCAATAAACCCAGGAGGTGGACAAAGACAAAGTGCTGAGAGACCCTCCGGCTGTCAGGGTCTCCTGCAGGCCTACTGTGTATCAGGTTCTGGGAGCAATTCTCAGCCACCCCGGGAGGTGGTGGCTATTACCATCCTCACTGAGCAGCATCGTGGTCAAGGATATTCCCAGAGTCACGATGCTGGTAGGATGGAGCTCTGGGATTCGCACCGGGGCTGCACACTGCACAGACACTGCTGGTCCTCCTACAACTACACTGTGGTGCTAAAGTACAAACATGCCTCTCACTGAGCCCCTGACCCAGACTTGGTCATTGGTGGAGATGCTGACACAGAACCCCAAGGAGGTGACAGCAGAAGGAAAGTAAAGAAAGCTCTGGACTAGGATTCAGGAGACCTGGGTTCTAGCTCCGGTTCTGACCTCAAGTAGCTGTGTTCCCTTGGTAAAACCTTAAGCCTCTCTGAGCCTGTTTCCCTGGATGACATGATCTCCAGGATCCCTTCCAGCTCACCACCCTATCCCCAGAGAAGTTTCCAGGGATGGATGCTGGCCTCCTGTGCTCCAGGGGGTCGACCGGCCAAGCCTAGAGCTGCCAATGGCAGCTCAGCCTTGTGAGGGCAGAGGGCATGCTCCCGAGCTCCAGGGCCCAGGGCACAGGCTAAGGGGAAGTGAGGTCTGGGGAACAGGAATGGGAAGTCTGAAAGGGGGACAGTGGTGAGCCCACACCAAAAATACAAACTATGCCACTCCCCTTTCCCCAAAGCGTGTTCTTTCATACCTTCATTTGGAGAAAATACAGAGTGCCTATGGCTCAGCAGTCTCAGCTTGAGCCCAGGCGGGGCTAGCCTAGGCCTAGGGAAACAGGTGGAAGAAGGAAAAGCCAGCGGGTGGAGCACTGCGTCCTGCGCCTCAGGGGCCTTGGCTCACCTGATTCTCACAATAGCCCTGGAAAGTAGGTGTGGTCCCCTTGGTGAGAGAGGAGTAAACGGAGGTTCAGAGAGGTAAGGTGGCTTGCCTCACCTAGGGAACACATCAGCCTCTCTGACTTCAGAGTCCCTGCTCTCCTTAGCACAGAAACAACTCCCCACCCCTCAACACGGGGCTCCCCGGGTTTCTGGCAGCTGGATCCCTATGCTTGAACCAGACCCAGGTAACTGCCCTGGACCTCACACAGACACAGAAGAAGAAAGACAGGGAAGAGAAGCAGGCAAGGAGGAGACTGGGGGCGAGGGGGGAGGGGGGTAGAGAAAGGGTGACGATGGCAGATGAGTGAGGCAAGAGGACAGTGAGGATCTTGGCCAAAGACCAATTTCCTCTGCAGGGGTCAGCAAAGCTGGAGAGCCGGGCCAGATAAACAAGGCTGAGCATCTGCACTTTGTCCTCCCGTCCTCTCCGGTCAGCAGTCGGCACTCCCCGCCCCCACCCCCAGGAACGCGCGTTCACCAGTTCTGGGTGCTGACTCTGCAGACCAGACCGTGAGCACCCTGGCCCAGGCCTGGCCAGGGCCGCTGTCGCAGGGGTGCCATCTCGGTGCACCGCTGGGCCTGGAGTGGGCTCCCGCCCAGGCCCTCGGCTCCCTGCAAACTTTGGAATGAAGGGGCATTTCAGGCTTTCAAGGAGGACCTAGCAGTTTGGAATAAGACAGTCCCAGGAATAATGTGGTCTCTCCACCCCCATCCCTTACAAAATCCTCTTAGAGTGGGGCCTATAACAGTCACCAGATCATAGCACCTCAAAACTGTCAGGGACACTGAAGATGGCCCCGATCAACCGCCACCTTACAGATCTGGAAACAGATATGCCGAGAGGTGATGTGACCTGCACTGGTCACACAGCAAATTAGCAACAGAGCATCCCCGAGAGCCAGGCCTCCTGGCTCAAGGCAGCATCCTCTGCCCGACTGTCGGCTTCCGCAGCCAAGCCCGAGCGATGTGCCTGGGAGCCCCAGACACCTGAGGACAATGAATATGAAGTTCTCAGACTCTCCTCTACCTGGGCCATGAAAGGCAGGCTGTTCCTGCTAGAATTGTAATGGGGAAGGTCCCACCGCCTTCTCGAGAACAGACTCCAAAAGGGCAGAGAGGGGATGCGAGAGCGGGAAAACCACCTCTGGTTATCCACTTGACCTCCCTGGGACTCAGTTTCTCATCAGCAAAGTGGGAATGACCATCCCCCCAACTGCCTGCTGCAGGGTCACGAGCTAAAAGGAATTACGAGATAAAATGGGCTCCAAAGCACTCTGTAAGCAGTGTGGTTAGGATCATTTGTATCTTTTAGAGGGGGGATGGGTCAGGAAGAAATGCCCAAATCCTGAGCCCTTTGACATGTGGGTGATGCCGGGCACCCCGGAGGGAGAGCCTACCTGCCTTGGAGGCCACTTTGCCATGAGTGATGCCACAATCCCCCAGCCTCCCCAGGAGGGAGCCTTTGGCTTCCCTCTGAAGTATCCAACCCCGTGTTCCAAGGTCTTCCCTACAAACCAACCTAGTCTGGCCTCTGAGTGTCTTCGAGGTCAGCAGACAAGGAGAGGAGGTGGCAGAGAGGAGACTTGGAAGTTGGGGTCCACTTTTAGCTCACCTCAGACTCTGGGAGCTCAGGGAAGGCCGTTTTTAGGTAGTGCAGGCGGGCTGCGCGGAGGGCATTGAACCAGTCCACTATCTCCTGCAGAGAAAAAGGCAAAGGACAAAGGGACAGCAGTCAGAAGGAGTCAGGGGCGCTGAGAGTGATGGCAGGAAGCCAGCTGCATCTTCAGGTTGGGGCGCACACACTCAGCACATGCGCACACCCCGGTTCCCCTCCGGCGCCTGATCACAGGCATTCAGGGGAACAACCTCAGAGCCCGGGAGGGAGGCTCACCTGAGCAAGTGGGCAGCCACTGGCAGGGAGATCCCCAGAGTCATGGGAAAGGACCCACGCAAACTGCACGGAGGTTATGCAACGGCCTACGACAGTCCCTAACTTTTTCTCATGTGTGAATGAATCACCCGAGGATCTCCTGACAATGCAGATATGGATTCAGTGGGCGCGGGGTGGAGCCTGCGATTCTGCATTCCTAACAATCTCTCAGATGATGTGATGCTGGGCACTAGGATAGACTTGATGTTCAAGACCGGTTTTCGGGGCGGGAGGACACATGCACCCGGGGACGCTTCTCCAAAGGGGCTGCTCCTTCCTGGAGTGCAGCCTAGGCCACAGCTGGCTTGGACCTTCTGCTGTGGAAAGAATGCACCCCCCGGCCGCGTGGGCCACCGCCACATCTCACCAGGTGAACAGCTGATCTAGCGGGCTCTGCTTCTGTTCGTCTGTCCAGCTGGTCCTCCCCTGCCCACCCTGGGGCCGGAGTAAGCTCTTTAGTATGACTGACTTTGTCCTCTGAGCTCCTTCAGTACAAAGCCATTGACAATCCCAACATGTGCTCCCTCCCCCTGGAACACGATGCCTTTCCCACCTCACTCCCCTCACCCCACACATACCTATTACCTAGAACATTCTACTCATCCTGCAGGTTAGTTTAGATGTTGTAGTAGATTTTTGTAGCCCATGCTCTGCTTCTATGCGAACTGCCCCCACCCATTCTCACCCACCCACCACCCACCCACAGTTGCAGCCACGTGGGCTGCTGCTCTCCCCCCACCCCTTTTTCGGCCACAGCAACTGGAGCATGGCTGGACCAGTGCAGAGGCTGGACTGGGTTTATCAGATTCTTTCCCCCAGGAATTTAGAGGAAGAAAGACTTGTTCAAATAGTTGCAGTGTTGCACTTTGATGTGACCCGGTGACTGAGAAGTTCATTTGGATATGGTTTGGGAGGAATGAAGCATAATTACCCTTTGTCTCTCACGGGTTGAGCACGCAGGCCTAGTGTTGAGCGTTGCGAGCTCTCTAGTCTTGGGAGTTAAGAACCTTCTTGTGCCTCAGGCATGAAAGGAATGGGGCCATCCCAGGAAATACCCAGCTAGGCCCTCACTTTGGAAGGTCTCTCCAGTCACAAGGTGGTAACTTTGGAACCAAATCCAACCTGCACTCATGTCTGTTTGGCTCCTGAAGTTTTGTTTGCTTATTTCAATCCTCTCTACAGGTTATCCTGCTTGCCACAGCCTTACAGCGGTCCACTTCACTTTTCAATGACCAACCTGGCCCCTGCGGGCGTGCCTTTGCAGCCCCTCACATACGCCCATCTAATGGAGAAGCTGGCGAATCAAGGGAAAGGGGAATGGCCAGACCCAGGTTGCCAGATGCTCAACAAGTGGGAAAGTGGGACGGAGTCAGGTCCCGTTAAGTGTCGGAGACCTTGGCCACCTCCGCAAAAGTCCTCACAGCAGGGACGGGCACAGAGAGGTGGCCACCAGTGTCTAGCCAGTCTGAGCAACAGTGGAGAGCCCACCATGGACTGAGAACCAGGGATCTGATTTCCTGGACCTTCACGTCATGCTTCTCAAACTTTAATGCATACAAGGATCACCTGCAGATCCTACTGAAATGCAGTTTCTAATTTGGTAGGTCCAGGGTGGGCCTGAGACTCCGGCTCTAACAAGCTTTTCAGGTGTTGGTACAGGAGCACCCGAGAAGCAAGGCCCCAGAGCACACTGCTGCCGGACCCTCTATTCGTTCCTCCTCCCTCGTCAGAATCTCCGGCTCTACCTGGGTTTGCCACCCCTTGGACCCCCCCCCCCCCCCCCCCCCGTGAACGCGCACTGTCCAGACACACCCAGGGTACGCATCAGGTTCCTCTCTCTGATCTCGCTCTGCCGTCCTTACACTTCTGTCTCTAACTGGGGAGTGACAACAGATTTAGGCAAATAGTAGCTGCAGATCTCAAGAGGCAGGGGCTGGTGAGCGGGACCTGTGGAACCCAGGGCGCTGAGATGGGGCCCGACGTGGCCAGGCCCGCCCTCTCACCTTGCCACTTTCATGGTACACGAACAGGTTCCTAATGTGGCCATCTTTCCTGTAGGTGATTTGCAGCCCGTGGGGGTTCCCTATCTTCTCCGTCTGGAAGGTGGCATTCAAGTCCTTGATGTTGATGACAGCTTTGGGGCCTTTACCCTGGAAGAGAGGAAATGGAGACTCAAGATGCCCACAGTCAGCAGGGTGACTCCTCATCCCCTTCACCAAGGTCTCAATGCAGACAGAAAACCGGTTTGTAACTTTTCATGGGTTTTAAATGTTCTTGCTCTGATATCAAGACACACAGATGCTCTGACCTGCGTGGTTGCTGGTTCGATTCCCAGTCAGGGCAGGTGCCTGGGTTGCGGGCCAGGTACCTGGTCGGGGGCATGCGAGAGACAACCCATCGATGTTTCTCTCGCACATTGCGTATCAGTGTTTTCTCCTTCTCTTTCTCCCTCCCTTCCCCTCTCTCTAAAAAATAAGTAAATAAAATCTATATTAAAAAAAAAAAGACACAGATATTGTACTGTATTGTCTTGTCCTGTACTCAGCCACCCCGCCATTCCTGCTTAATCCGATTGGCCCCTCTGGGCTGGGATGGGGCTTGGAAAGGCCTTAACTCGGGACTTTTCAAACTTTTTAGCCATTGCACTTTTTCCGAAGCAAATCTTCAATGGAAGCCAGACAAAACAAAGCAGATAAAAGCAGGTGTGGGGTGCTGTGGGTTCTCAGGGCTCTGAAACTCAGTCCAATCGCTGATTAATGCTGTGAAGGGAAGAGAAAAGTTATGGCCTTTCTCCATAACTGGTCAGAGAACAGTTATACAAACACTGTAGAGCTGTGTTAGCCATTAACCCATGTGGCTATTAAAATTAAAATTAAGAAAAAAAATAAAACTTCAGTTCCTTACTCAGCCCCATTTCAAATGCTCAAGTAGCCGCTTGAGACAGCGGCCAGGGTATGGGACGAGGCCGACACGGCACAGGTCCATCACTGATGGACTGTCTTTTCTAGGGAGAAATTTGGCCATATTTATTAAAATGTTGAGTATTTTGCTGTGACTCACAATTTTGCATCTAAGAATCCAAGGAAGTAATTGTATTACTTTGCAAATGTGTATGTCAAAAACATGTTTATTGCCACGTTGCTTATAATGGTAAAAAAAAAAAAAATTTAAATATCCACTAATAATCATGAGTTAAGTAAATAAATCATGTTACATCCACACAAGGAAACATGACAAAATTTTTAAAAGAATAGTTTACATCAATATTACTACTATGGAAAAATGTTCATGATATCCATGAGAAGTACCAAGTCCCAAAACGGATGTATAGTAGGAACCTACTAAAACAAAAATTATATACACATACAGTGAAAAATATGTATAGGTATAGTATATAATGCATATGTGTAATATATACTCATACATAGTCTACATTATATATAGTATATATGTACATTATACATATATCTTTATATAAACTATCTATATTTGAATATGCCCAAAAAGTATAAACAGATTTACACTAACACTTTTTAAAAAATTTCTACTTTGTGATTTGGGAGAGAAATATTCCTTTGTTGTTGCACCCATTTATGCATTCATTAGTTGATTCTTGTATGTGCCCTGACCATGGATCGAACCTGCAACCATCGTGCCTCAGAGGGACTCTCCAACCAACGGAGCTACCCGGCCAGGGCCTACACTGACACTCTTAACAATGGATTTCTTGAAAGGTTACTAGGAGACTTTCCCTTTAAAATATTTAATATGAAAAATACTAAAAAAATTTAAAAATTCATCTACTTTTGTCAATATTGTTCCTTTAATTAAAAGAAATATGACTTCACACTAACCAGTGTCACTCAGTTGATTGGGCTTGGTGCCACAGACTGAAAGCTTGCAGGTTCGATTCCTGGTTAGGGCACATGCCTGGGTTGTGGGTTCGGTCCCAGGTCAGGGCTTATAAGAGAGGCAACCGATCAACATTTCTCTACTTCTCTTTCTCCCTCCCTTCCCCCCTCTCTAAAAAATAAAAATTAAAAAATATTTACATTAAAAAAGAAATATGTTACTAAGAAAGCCAGATCTCTTTGCTGCTCATCCTGTCCTTTTCTCCTCCTCCACTCCCCACCGTCAACCATTGTCATGAATTTGATGTTTATTCTCCTAGTTCACTTTTCATACTTTTACACATATATTCCCATATCTATGAACAATATATAGTATTGTTTTATGTGGCCTTAATTTACATACATGGTATCATACTATATGGATCATTCTGCATCTTGCATTTATCACTCAACATTATATATTTTAGCTCTATCTCTGTTGAGATATACTGATTTAGTTTGCTCTTGTAAATGACTACACCGATAGTTAGCAATTTTTCCTGTTGACAGATACTGAGATTGTATCTTATTTTTTGCTGCAGGCAGCTTGTGTCCCCTGTACACATATGTGAGCATTTCTCTAGGTTGCAGCATATACTTAGGAATGAATTACTAGATCACAAGCGTGGATATCTTTGACTTACTAGAAACTGCCAAGTGATTTTGCTGAATGGTCTCTGCAGCAGTTGTATCAAAATTTACATCCATAGCCCTGGCCCGTGCAGCTCGGTTGGTTGGAGCATCTTCCTGTGCACTGAAAGGTCACAGGTTCGGTTCCTGGGCACATACCTAGGCTCAGTGTTCAGTTTCTGGTCAGGGTGCATACAGAGGCAACCAATTGATATTTCCCTATCTCTCCCTGCTCCCCCCGCAAGATCAATGAATGTAACCTCAGGCAAGGATTTTTTAAAAATTTACATCCATAAATAACATTGAAGCCTTCCCCTTTTCCGCTATCCTCACTAACACTTGACATTGCCAATTTTTAACATTTTTGCCAATATGATGGGTTTGAAATTGGATCCCTCTGTTTTCACTTAATCAACTATATTGAGATATAATTGGCAAACAATAAATGGTAATCATTTTAAGAGTAAAGTTTGATTTTTGACAAGCATATATTACCATGTAACCAACACCACAATCAAGATATGGAGCATCACTATCACCCCAAAAGAGTTCCCTCCTGCTCCTTCGCAGACCCCACCCCTGCCCCAGGCAACCACTTACCTGCTCTCCATTGGTATAGAGCAGTCTCACTTGTTGTAGAATTTCATGTAAATGAAATTACATAGTGCATACTCTTCTATAAGGTTTCTTTTGCTCAGAATAGTATTTTTAGATTAATTCACATCATTGAATTTTTGGTAGTCTGTCCCTTTTTATTGCTGAGTAATAGTCCATTCTGTGGATGTACTACAATGTGTTTATTCATTCAGCTGTGAATGGACATTTGGGTTCTTTCCAGGTTATGACTATTACAAATAAAGCTTCCATGAACATTTGTATATAAATCTTTTTAAAAATTTTTATTTACTGATTTTTAGAAAGAGAGAAAGAGAGTATGTGACAGAGAAACATTGATTTGTTGTTCTTTGTATGTGCCCTGCTGGAGGGTGGAACCCACCACCTTAGTGTATTGGAACGACACACTAACCACTGAGTACCTGGCCAGGGCTGAATCTTTTGTGGACATATTTTTGTTCCTTTTCAGTAAATACCTAGGAATGGAATGGCTGGGTTATGTGGTTAAGTGCATATTTAACTTTATTAAAAATTGCCAAATTGTGCCCTGGCTGGTGTGGCTCAGTGGATTGAGCGCCAGTCTGCAAACCCAAAGGTCATCAGTTCCATTCCCTCTCAGGGCACAGGCCTTGGTTGAGGGCCAGGTCCCCAGTTGGGGGCGTGCGAGAGGCAACAGATCAATGCTTCTCTCCCTTTCTCCCTCCCTTCCCTTCTCTCTAAAAATAAATAAATGAAATCTTTTTTAAAAATCACCAAATTGTTGTCCAAAGAGATTGTATTACTTTATGGTCCCACCAGCAATGTATGAGAGCTTCAGTTTCTCCACATCCTTACCAATAGTTGGTGTTGTCAGCCTCTTTAATTTTAGCCATTATAGTGGGTGCGTAGCATGTCTCTGTGGTTTTAAGTTGCATTTCCCTGACTGCCAGAGACTTTTTACTCTTCTTTTACTTAGCAGGCTTTTTGGTTTCCTTTTTTCTGAACTGCCAGTCCATTTCCTTTGCCTCTCATCTAATGGATCGTCTTTCTCTTCTTGATTTGTGGGCTTTTTTTTTTTTTTTTAATGTGTTCTGGGTATTAACATTTTGTTATGCTGAGATATCTTCTGAGTTTTACTTTCTTTATACTTTATTTACTTTTTTTGTATTAATCCAAATTTTTATATAAAAATGAGTTAATTTCATAATTTAAAAAACTTCCTTTTTGGACCCCTGGCAGGGTGGCTCAGTTGGCTGGAGAACCGTCCCACACACTAAAAGGCTGCAGGCTCGACCCTGGGTCAGGACACATACCTAGGCTGTGGTCGGGGTGTGTATGGGAGGCAACCGAGAGCTGTTTCTCACATCGGTATTCCTTTTTCTCTGTCTCTCTTCCTCTCTCTCTCTCTAAAACCAATAAACATATCCTTGGGTAAGGATTTTTTTTTTCTTAATTTCCCTTTTGGGAAAGAAATAAAAAAGAACAAAGGGAACTCATGTTATTTTTAGACTGTTTCAGGCTGCACTGGCTGAGGACAGAGAAATAATCAACTTCTCCCAACCAAGGACGAGCTGTGCTGGGAGGCCCACTTACTTGGGGAGATGCTGGGCCCCTCCCACCCTGCTCTCTCTCCCTGCCTCTTGCGCCTGCAACATTTCTCAGTGCTTTAAATTGGAGACCGAGAAGAAACCCTCCTCTCACTTGGAGGATTAATACTCTTCGTCCGCTGGCATTTTCATATGGCCCCAGACTGCAGCCACATGGGACAGACCATCAGGCCTTGCACTGGTCTATCTACAGAAGCAACAGGGGAAATACGTAATAATTCCTACATGTAGGAAACAGGGGAAGGCGAAGACTCGAGTCCTCAGCTCGTCCTTCCCTTACTCTGTTGGTCACTGCTTCGCACTCTCTCGCTGGACATGTCTCATCTTTCTGTCCTCTAAGTACTGGGTTGTCCCAGGGCTCGGGGTAGTAAATAATCTCCAAAGATGACCCTCACCAACACCTTCCCTCCCTCTCAGCCATCAGGAGACGGACTCTCTATCCGCTCCCTGTGAACTGGGACTAGCTGCACGGCTTGCCTTGGTCAGGAGAAGGCAGTTCCTGGCCCGGCCTTAAAATGGCCCGCGGCTCCCCCATTTGCTAGGGGGAAGGCAGCTGCCAGGCTCTAAAGAAGCTCAAGCTAGACTCCTGAATGAGAAGCAACCACACAGAGAGAGAAAGGCCCCACGGAGCAACCAGAGCACCAGACGTGTGGGTGCGGGCTTCCTGGGCCTTGTGGCCCAGCCCAGCGGCCAGCGGGGGCGAGGGACCCAGTGCGCGCCAGAGGGAGGGCGCCGGAGCAGCCAGGGCCTGCCCAAATTCCTGACCCACAGCACCGTGGGACATCACACATGGACATTTTAAGCCTCTAAGTTTTATGGTAGTTTGCCACTCAGCAAATTTTAATTATTTAACTAAAATACTCAGTCCTCGGACATCTTTTTCTCATCCACCCTCACTCCTTGCCTAGGTGATCCTGGCCCGTCGTCTGCTACCCCAGGCTCCAGGCCGGTGACTCCAGCTCCAAACTCTCCCCAAAGCTCCGGACTCCTATGTCCGACTTCTCTCTCAGCGTCTCCACCGGGATGACTAACGAGCATCTCAAGTGGAAAAGGCTCTTCATCTTCCCCTCGGGGAGCTAAATCTTTGCCATCTCGTCAAAAAATGAATCTATCCTTCTAAGTGTACGGGGCAAAAATCGGGGAATCATCCTTGATTTCTCTTACTTTCACACCCCATACCGAGTCCTTCAGTTAATCCTGTTGGCTCTGCTTCCAAAATGTATGCAGAATGTATGTGACCACTTCTGACCACCGCATTCGGTCACCTGGTCTAATACACTATCCCTCCCTTGGACTATGGCAGTGGCCTCCTAGCCGGCTTTCTGCTTTCACTCCTGCCTCCTTCCTGCCCCGCCCTCACCCCAGCAACAGCCGGGAGCCCCTTTCAAAATGTTTAAGTCAAGTTATACCATTTTCTGCCCAAAACCCTCCTGTGGCTTCCCATCTCAGAGTAAAATACAAAAGCCTAAATTTTCGGTAAATCATATATCCAGGAAAGGACTTATATCTAGAATAAAAAGCTATTACAACTCAATAATAAAAAGACAAACAACCTAATTAAAATAGGGGGAAAGGATCTGAATGGACACTTCTACAAAGAAAAAAGGGCCAACAAGCAGATGAAGAAAATGCTCAATGTCATTAGCCATCAAGTAAATGTAAATCAAAATCACAGTGAGATACTACATTACACGCACTCAGATGGCTATAATCAAAAGGGCATAATAATAAGTGTTGGTGAAAATGTGGAGAACTTGGAATCTTCATACATTGCTGGTGGGAACATAAAATGAAGCAGTCACTCTGGAAAACTGTGTGCCAGTTCCTGAAAAGATTAAACATAGTTGCCATATGACCCAGCAAGTCTACTACTAGGTATGTACCCAAGAAAAATGAAAAGATATGTCCATGTGAACACTTATACATGAATATTCATAACAGCATTATTCATACTCATCAAAAAGTGGAACTAGCCCAAATGTCCATCCACCGATGAATGAAGAAATGAAATGTGATATATCCATACAATGGAATAAAAAGGAATGAGGTACTGATACATGCTACCAGATGAATGAACCCTAGAAATATAATGCTAAACGAAAGAAGTCTGTTACAAAAGACCACATATTGTATGATTCTGTTTATATGAAATGTCCAGAATAGGCCAATCTGCAGGGACAGAAAATAGAGTAGCGGTTGCTACTGCGAGGGAGTGGAGCGACGTGAAGGACCCCAGCGACCTGGTGTGAGGTTTCTTTTTGTGGTTATGAAAATGTTCTAAAATAGATTGTAGTGATAGCTGCACAGTTCTGCAACTTACTAAAAGCCATTACCTGTACACTTTAAATGGGTCAATTGTATAGCATGTGAATTTATGTCTCAATAAACTGTTCCCAAAAAAATCGCACGTCTTGCCATGGCCTGCGAGGTCCTCCACTCGCTGAGTTCCTCTCCCTCCGTCCTTTCAGTGACTGTGACCTACCCGATGTCCTGAAGACCCACCGAACACTGGCAGCTCAGGCCAGGGCTGCACCGAACACAAAGCCCCTGCTGAGCATACAAGTGAGCACTGGAATCCAGGCCTCTGCTGGTCTAGACGTGGGTACCGGGGCTGTGCCCCCCGAGAAGCGCCATCTTTTCTAACTAGCGCACAGGCGGATTGCCAGTCAGGACCACGCTCAGGGCCTCTGTACGTACTGTTCCCACTGCCCCTTCTCCCCACGTAGCTACGTGAGTCGTTCACACTTGCTCAGTTCTCTGCCCCGATGTTACCACAGAGGCCTTCCCTGACCACTTGGCGTTAGCATCCCTGCCACACCCCTGGCATCCTCTAGCCCTTCACCCTTTCGTTTTACTTCTTAGAACTTACTGACACCTGACACATCACAAACGGATGCATGTTTTGATTACCACCTGTCTCCTTCCACTAGAATGAAAGCTCCAAGAGAACAGGAGCTTGGTTTCATTCATCACTGTCTCCCCCGTGCCTGTGATAACACCTAGCAGGGGTGCTCAACAAATATTTCTTACGTGTATGAAGAAATGAATTAAAATCAAGTGGTCATCAAAGGCTTAATCATGACCAGTCTAAGCCCATTCTAAGTGAACGGAAGGTGTGTTTTTTGGTGGACTGGGTTGGTTGTCTAACCAAGGAAAAATAGAATGCAGCGCCCAACTCTCAGCGGCTGAGGTCATCCACAGACAAAGCACTATTGATCAAAATGAAGACCCCAGTGAGGTGGGAGCCTGGTGCTCAGGGAGGAGACGAGACCCCTCACCGGTCTGGCCTCTTACCTCTTCTTTAGTGTAGTACTTCAGAAGGCCTTCCCTGGCCAAGAGGACAAACCTCCGTCTCAGGAACTGCGCGTTGTCCTTGCCACGCTTCCACAGGAACCCTTCTCGGTTACCTTTGCCACCGAGGAACGGGAAAGAGTGAACACCCACAGCCTTAAGACAAACAAGAAGCTCACAAACTCTGTAGAGTCTCAGAGTAAAATAAACCTCCCACCTGTTGCGAAAATGTCTCGAATCTAACTTAGCTATTTCAGATACAGGACACGGGGGTCCTATCTGGGGCTAATACAAAGTCTTATGACTTCAGTTGGGCTCCCCCCAACTCTTTTCCTTGGCTATTTCTTAAGGAAACACCGTAAACCTTTAAGTAGCCTAAGTGCTGAGAAACTGCACCAGTGACTTCATGCTGACATCAGCCTAGTGACCCTCTCCAGAGGGCTGGAATAATGAATGAGTGACTCTCAGGCACCTGCTGGCTGAAGAATACCATATGCTCCTCGTAGGGCTGAGCGCTGGCTGCCTCCGGCCCTCAAAGAGTGGTTTCGTATGCTTTGCTCTCTGGGTCAGTGTCAGCTTAGACTCAGAGAGCAGCTGGGCAGACGCTGCCGTAGGCCCAGGGCCACTGATGGGGCTGTGCCTCGCACAGATCCAGCCCAGGCACCTCACCGCGCCGGTGCCCCGCCAGCGGTTACAGCGCAGGGAGCAGGGGTGTGGTCCTGGTGGGTGGGTCTGCCTGCAACTGATACTGACTCTGCACACGTGGGGCCCTGCAATGGGCTGAGACAAATATGCTGCTTGTCCACTCAGCCCATAAAACCCCACCAACTAAGGTGCTGCCGCTCCAGAGGCGGAGGGGCCCACACCTGGGCCTCTGGGGCCGGAGCGAGGGCGGCAGCTACCTCTTGGTGGGGCCTTGGTCCTAATAATCAGGCCCTGTACTTTCTAGGACTCCCTGGAACATAGACCTCAAAAGATGATGAAAATGAACTGTACCTGAGGGTGAGATGGTTTTCCCATCAGCCATAAATTCCTGTCTCTCATACTTAGCTCGAATCCATTGTTCCTTTAAGACCCTAAAAAGAGAGAAGCTCTGGTCAGCTGGGTCTGGTGCATCTCTGCCTGCAGCAGCGCTCGCAGGCCCTGCAGTGGGGGCCGGGGCAGCCCGGCCCCAGCCTTCCCGCGGGCTCGGGTTCCCCAGCACCTCTCAGCCTTGGTACTGGTAACATTTGGGCCAGGTGACTCTGTTGCGGGGCTGTCTTGTGCTTTGTAGGATGTTTGGCTGCAACTCTGGCCTCTACCCCCTGGCTACCGGCAGCCTTCCCTTTCGAGTGATACCCAAAAATGTCTTCACACACTGCCAGTCTCCTTGGGGTAAGTATATCCCCCAGGGGTCCGTACGAAAACCACTGGGCTATCCCAACCCCAGCCTTGGCCCTGCCCTCTATGTTGGTGAGACTAATACCAGCTCCTCTGGATCCCTAACTGCTACCTCTGCCTGCATGCTCCTAGCTTAAGCCGGGAGAGCCCAGCAGTCTCCTGCTGTCCCCTGCCCATGAACTCTGGGCATGCTATGCTGGACAGAGCAGTGGTCTTGGGGTCTAACTCTCTGGGACTGGTCCCATTCTACCATTTATCCACTGTGTGACCAAGAACAAGTTACTTAACTTCTCTGAACTTGGGGAATATGCTGATAATATTACACCTACTTACCCCATAGGGTAGGTTTAAATATATATGAAGGACCTAGCACCATGCTCAGCACATAGTAGGTGTTTAATGTTAGCCCAATAAGGTATTGATTTTCATGACCCTGCAGAAAAACCACGCAGCCAAGACTGGACTTCATTCAATTGTTTGCTCCTCTCTCGCAGTTTCCTGGTATGTGTTCCAAGGTATATATGACCTCACCCCCACAACCACAGGGAATGACCTTGAGCTGGGCACCTGGCCCAAACTGGTCAGTCAGAGCCCTGCCCAGGGCTGCGTGAACCAAAAGGAGCAAAACTGAGAGAGGGATGAATTAGCAGCCCTCTCTGGGGTCAAGCTGGGAGCTGGAGCTGGGACCTAGATGGGGTCTTGCTCGAGCTACATGAGAGAAGCCTAGCGGAGAGAAAGAAGCAAGACTGAGAGCCACAGAGGGTCTGAGGGGCCTGACAATGTTTGTCCTGGCTTGTCCTTTCTAGGGTGACTCTACCTCTGTCCCTCCTGCAGTCTGATCCCCAGAACCCATACATCTTGTTCCTAAGCTGGTTTAAACTGGGTTTCTGTCACTTCCAATCAAGAGTCCTATCTAGCTCTTTGGCTTTCCGCTTGAAGGAGGCTTAGGTGCAACTTTCTCTGGTCGTCCTGAACCCAGGTTCATCCAACACCAGCCGCCTCCACCAGGCCACTGCCGAAGTTTGACCCTGATGAGATCCAAGTCATACACCTGAGGCGCGCCGGTGAGGAAGCCAGCTTCACGTCTGCCCTGGCCCCCCAGATCGGCCCCCTGGGTCTGTCTCCAGAAAATGTTCGCGATAACATTGCCCAGGCAACCGGTGATGGGAAGGTCTGAGGATTGCAGTGAAACTGACCATTCAGGAGAGACAGGCCCAGACTGAGGTCGTGCCTCCTGCCTCTGCCCCGATCATCCAAGTCCTCAAAGAGCCACCAGGAGGCAGAAAGAAAACATTGAGCACAGTGGAAATATCGCTTTTTATGAGATTGTCAACATTGCCCCAGAGATGCAGCACCAATCTTTAACTAGAGAACTCTCTGGAATCATTACATAGGTCCTGGAGACTGCCCAGTCTACGGGCTGCAATGTTGATGGCTGCCACCCTGTGACATCAGAGATGACATCAGGAGCAGTGCAGTGGAAGGCCAGGCTAGTTAAGAACCACAAAGGGAAATATTTCATCTAAAGATCATTTGACAGCCAAAGTAAACAAACAAAAAAAAAAGAATCCTATCTAATGCACAGTCCTCACACAGGACATAGAGGAGAGTCACCAAGCACACCCTGAGCCACAGGATCAGCAATGTGGGAGAGAACGGAGGCTGAGGCCCCCAATCCTGGTCCTCAGAGGTCGGGAATTTGGAGGACTTTCAGAATTGGAGGGTGGAGGCCATTAGTATTTAGCTAAAAGGGGTTAGAGGGCAGAGCTATTACTGTAATAGTGACAAGTAGTGTCTGTGTAGTATGGGCAGAAAGCCTAGCACATAGTAGATGCTCACCAAGTGCTTGTTCCGTTCCCCTCAGACCAAAGGGCTGAGTGGCAGAGGGGAGGCAAGATGATCAGGTCCTAGGCACTGGCTGGGTAGCTCAGTTGGCTAGAGCATTGTCCTGATACACCAAGGTTGCCGGTTTGATCCCCGGTCAGGGCACATACAAGAAATCAACCAATGAATGCACAAATGAGTCGAACAACAAACTGATTTCTCGCTCTCTCTTGCTGTGTCTCTGAATCATTAAATACATTTTAAAAATTCAAAAAATAAAGATGATCAGGCCCTCTGGAGTTGAGCCTGGCACATCCCTCAGCTGAGCCAGGAAGGCAGAATTCTGAAGCCAACACTGAGAAATGAATTAAAACTAGCATTTCACATGGCTTATGAGATTTTTACATAAATCATTTCATTTAATCCACCACCATGTTATGACGTAGGCATCATTAACTCAATTTCAGAGGTCAGAGAGGTTTGGTACCTTGTCCACCTTCTCACAGCGAGGTCGTGGTAGACTCAAAGAACAAAACTGAGGTCTTTGACTCGGGGGGCCGCCAGGAATGGTCATGTAGTTTGTGCATTGTCCAAAAGCATCCTGCGGAGGCTGGAGGACAATGGTAGCTGAAATGCAGCCTGCTTCCTGCAGGCCATGCCTCCATGAGGTTGCATCTGCCCAGAGGGGTGCCCTCTCCCCACTTACACAGGTGCTGTCTAGCAGCCCCGGTGCTGAGGCTGCATCTCTGGGACAGAGGCTCAGGCTCAGGCAACCTGCAGAGGTCTGGGATCACTAGGTACCAGCGTTATAGTGATCAGGTGAACTGAACCCTCTTGTTACTTCACAGATACAGCCTGACCTCTCCGCACCCCCATTATATTGGATTTTCCCAATGCCTTGGTTCAACCACCCAGGCCCCAGAGTCAGATGGGCTAGTTCCAGCTTCGCCTCTATAAGCCTCAGGTTTTTTACCTATATCATGTGGATAGCAGCAGTATTTATCTCATAGGGTAGTTGAGAGAATTAAACAAATTAATGCACATAATTACGTAGCACAGGATCTGGTATATAGGAAAAGCTCAAGAAATATTAGCAGCCTATTATTTTTATGGTTTTTATTTAGGGATTATTTAGGGATCTGGGTTATTATTTATGCTTTGGGACAGCCCTAAGCATAACACTCCACAGGAAATAGCTGGAATACATTTGTTTTAGTGAAACACCAGCATTTCTCTTCTCTGTCAAGTTAGCCACCACCTGTGAGAACATCAGAGGTAAATGGGGCAGATAATAAAGAAAACGCCCCATTTCATAGCTATGAAAACTGAGTCCTGCCCCGGCTGGTGTGGCTCAGTTGGTTGGAGCATTGCTCTATAACCAAAAGGTTACAGCTTCGATTCCCAGTCAGGGCACATGCCTGGGATGTGGGTTTGTGCCCCGTCCAGGCACATACAATCCTCAGTCTGGGTGTGTGGGAGACAACCAATGAATGCTCCTCCCTTGCATCAATGTTTCTCTCTCCCTTTCTCTCTCCAAAAAACAATGATAAAAAATGTCCTCGGGTTAGGAGAGGAAAAGAAAAGAAAAGAAAAGAAAAGAAAAGAAAACTGGGTCCCAGAGGGTGGTAATGACAACCCAAGCAATGAAGACAGAGAAGGGCTTAAACCAGGTCTTGTATGTTCTCCATGACAGCACCAAACACTATCCTGGATCTACCTGCTGCCCAGGTCCTTAGCTGAGACCACTACAGACAAAGGTTGGGACCAGGAAACCAAGCACTCACAGGCAGTCGCTCGCCTGGGGGATGTAGTAGAAAGCAGGGACTCTGGCTTCATACTTGGCCTTCACACGGAGGTTCCCGTTGTGGGACATAAACTGCAAAACAACAGCAACTTGATGGTAACATTAGAACTTGAAAAATGTGAAATGAAACCACCCAGAAGGCCATCGTTTTCACTGGCTCCTATGCTGAGTCAGGAGACAGTCCCAGAGGAGCTCGACACTTCCCCTCAGGCTGCCACCAGGCTGCTGGAAAGCCCTAGCCTGGAGCGAGGGGGTGCTGTAACGACTGCGCCTCGGAGAGGCAGAGCCCATTACAGTTCCCACACGTTAGTTCACTTGACCCCCTTAGCCATTTTAATATGACAATCCCCATTGTAGAGACAAGGAAACTGAGGCTCAGAGAGGTTAAGTGACTTGCCCAAGGTGGCACAGCTAGTAAGTGGAGAGTTGGGATTTGAACCCAGGCCTGTCTAATTCCAAAGCTCATGTTCTTTCTCCCACCCCCTCCGCAGGTGGCCGGGACCCCCGGCAACAGTCCCTGCAAGGCTGCAGGTGATACATGCAGGTGAAGGATGGAAGTCGAGGGTGGCCCCGTAGAGTACTAGTGCAGGGTTACCGCTGTGGCCCTTCGACACCTGAGAGACCCAGAGGCACATGTGCCAAGAGTGGCCCTGAGCAGCGGTCAGCACTCAGTAACACCAGTGGCATATCTGGGGTGAGGGCAGCGTGGGAAAAAAATCAGGTTAACACTGTGAACCCTCTTCTCCTCCCCGTGGACCACTGGGCTGTGTCACAGGACTGGCATGGGCTTTGGGTCCCAGAAGAGCAGGGTTCACATCCCAGGTGTGCCACTTATTCATGGAGTGCCAGGGACCCTTTGGCAATACTTAACCCTGAGCTTCAGGGTTTCACCTGCAAAACTGAAGAAAATGTAGCTGGGGACTTAAACGGCACAAATAAATAACCCTTGGGTTTATGGGTTGGTTTGCTGGTTTCCTGTCCTTCTAACACTAGCATGCAAGCTTCACATGGGCAGAGACTTTACGTTGCTCAATGCTCTCTCCTAATACCCAGCACATAGTAGGCATCCAACAACTAGGTGCTGAATGGAGGAGTAACACGTCTAACCCAGCAGCCCCGCGCAGTGCCTGGCACAGAGGGGGCACTCAGGGACCACGGGCCTGCTTCCCCAACAGCCCTTGGCATCCTCAGCCAACAGCACAGTTTAGAACTGCCTGCCATCTGAAGGTTTTCTGGCCAAACTGGTCTTTTCCTCAGGGCTGAAGGTGTCCGCCATCTCCGGAGGTCAGGAAAGCCAAGCGGCCCCCTTCCTGGCTAGTGGGGCTGGAGGGAGAGAAGAGACTCAGGACACTTGAATAGGGAGGTTTCTGTTTCTGCCCAGGACTTCAGTTAATGAGAACAGCAGCTGTTAATGGACTACTTATTTTGCACCTGCATCAGGCCTCCATCCTTACAGCAGCCTTGGGTCTGGGGGCGAGGGCTGGGGGGGGGGGGCACGTGGAGTCCAGAGGTGGGGGGCATCCCTGTAATACAGATGTAGAAACTGAGGGTCCACACCTAGGGTTCAATAACAAGCTCGGGGCCTCACAGCTTGTAAATGAACAAGTGATAAAGCTAGGATTTGAACTCAGTTCCTCCGTCTAAGCCACAGCTCTAACAGGCTGTGTTTTCTGTCCCTAGTTATTGGCCCTCTCTGGGCCTTCGTTGCCTTCCCTGTAAGATGGGAGCGCCCCGCCCACTGCCTCCACCCCAGCTTTGCTGTCCCCAGGCTCTCCACGTGTGCCCCTTGCTACCTCCACAATACTGTCGTCCCAGAAGTCAAGTCTCACGGATTTAACTTTGCTGATGTCTGGGAAGTTTCGGTGGACACCGGAGCAGTTCAGACAGATGAAGATGCCCAGCTTGTAGGAAGCCCAGTCGGGATCTGCGGGGCGAGAGGGCGGGAGCCGGACCGGTGGAGAGCGGGGCGAGGAGGCCAGAGCTAGACTGGGCGCCCTGGGGGAGGCGGTGTTTGATTCCCGGGGCGATGTCCAGCTCTGCCCATGCTGGGAACCCCTTCTCTCGTGGTGTCCCCACCCCGGGTGAACTACGAATACCAGCATCCCACCGGCCACGGCACGTTGGCGACCAGGATAAAGATCTTGGAAGGAGTTCTGGGAATGCGGGCAAGAGGCCCAGGCGGGTGCGAAGCCACAGGACTCCAGGGGAACCGAGAGAGGAAGGCGGACGGAGGGACCGGCACCGAGGCGCCCGTCGGGGGAGCCGCGGTGGGGAAGTCTGGCTCCCAGACTGAGTCAGGAGACGACCCTACGCGAATTTGACATTTCCCACCAGGCTATCACCTCGGCAGTGGTGGAGGATGCCGAGCCGTAAGGTGGCAAGACCCGGGGGGGCTCCTGGGGCAGGCGGCACTGCACCGTCAGGGGGCACCGGAGCGAGGTCTGGGGACCCTCGGTGCGTGGGATGTCAAGGACCGAGAGTGTGGGATGTGGCGGCAGGGACCGAGGTCCGGGCGGGTAGGGCGCCTGGCGGGGGAGGTGAGCAGGATGGTAAGGTACCCGGGTCGGGACAGAGTGTCCGTCGGGGTCCAGAGCGGGAGCGGCGGGGAGGGCGGGCAGAGGCGCGGGTCGGAGATCCACGCTCTGGGTGGGCAGGGGCCTGGCTCCGAAGCTGTCGGAGGGTCACACCCGGGTCCAGCCGGGGCCCGGGGCGCGACCGGGTCTGGGAGGAGGTGGGGTCTGGCGGGCTGGGGTCGGGCTCCGCGTCCCAGGCTGCCCGCGCCGCGCGCGCTTACCCGCGGCCCCGCAATCGGCGCAGTGCGCGTTGCCCGTGCCCGCCGCCCGCAGCAGCTCCAGCAGCCGCTTCTTGTTGCGCTCGCGGTCGCCCATGGCCGGCCCGGCGGGCTCAGCGGGGCTCAGCCGGACCGCCCCCCGGCCCGCGGCTGCCCATGGCCTGTGCGCTCGCGGGGCAGGTGGAGAGGGACGCAGCCCCGGCGTCTCCTGCTGGAGCCGCGCCTCCGCCAGCCCCGCCCCTCCGCGACTTCCCGCTCCTCCCTCGCCGCGTCTCCGCCGTCTCCGGGCTCCGCGGACTCCGCTCCCAGCCAGGCGGGCACCGGCGGGGAGGGACCTGAGCGCAGGGCTTGGAGTCACATTGGCTCGAGATCAAGCACTGGCCTGCCACTTGCAAGCTGCGCAACTATGGACAACCTAGTCAACCTCGCTAGGCCTCAGTTTACCCCTCTGGAGAAGGAAATAAAGACGTACTCCTGCGTCTCAGGACTCCTTGGAAAATCAAACAAAATCTAACTTCTGTGAAAGCATGCTACTGACGTAACTTTTACATCTACTTAGAGACTTAGAGACATTCAAATGCCACTTCCTCAGGAAGCCTTCCTTGATACCCAGTCTCGAGGAATCACTCCAGTTTGTGGTCCGCCGGGAACACCGGTGTAGAATTCGTCCACCCCTGTAATCCCGAGCACCTTCTATCTACTTTGCAACAGTTATTTATATATTTCCGTAAGTCCCTCCTCCCTCCAACACACACCCACATTTTTAAAAAAAGATTTTATTTGTTTTTAGAGAGAGGGGAAAGGAGGGACAAAAAGAGGGAGAGAAACATAGACGTGGGACAGGCGCATCAACGGTTGCCCCTCACACGCCCCCGAGGGGGGACCTGGCCCGCAACCCAGGCCTGTGCCCGGACTCGGAATCAGACCCGCGCCCTTCTGGTTCCCAGCCAGTGCTCAGTCCACTGAGCCACATCAGCCGCGGAATGATATTCTGATGTCAGTAGTTTTATTTTGGAATCCCACATAGCTCCTGGAAATAGTACCTGCATATTTTTAGAAACCCAATAAATGGTTGCATGACTGTGTTCACCAGGAGGTGCGGTTTTACCAAGGTGGACACCCCTAAATAGTTATTTTTTTTAATTTACTGATTTTTAGAGAGACGAAGGGAGGGAGAAAGGGAGGGGAAGAGGGAGAGAGGGAAGGGGAGGAGGGAGAGAGAGACTCACGGACACAAAGACACACAGACGCGCGCACACACCCCTCGATCTGTTGCTCCACCCACTTGATGAATTCACTGGTTGATTCTTGTCTGTACCCTCACCAGGGATCCAACCGTAACCCGTAACCGGGGGCATCTGGACGATGCTCCAACCAACTGAGCTGCTCCGGGAGGGCGCCGCTGAACAGTTTTATCGTGAAGTGTGGGCACGTGTGAGCAGGTGTGGGCAAGGCCGAGATGGTCTTGAATATGGGCATTTTACTAATCCCTATGCCTGTCACTCTTGGACACCATCCTCAGTGACCCATAGGCTTCTAGTAAGATACACGCTGCACACACTTGCCATCCCCTCTATAGGTAAACACCCATCCATCATACGCATGTGGCTTAATGTACACAGATGTTAGGTTTCCATCCTGACGGTTGGCAGCTGATGTTGTAGCTGACTTGCCTGTATTCCCAATTCAACACACATGCAAACACACGCAAACACACAGGGCAGCTCAGTATGCCGGGATGAGTCCAGGAATCCCGGCTTTGAGTCTTGGCTCCATCACTCACTAGCTGTGTGACCTTGGGCAAGTCACTTCCCTTCCCTGAGCTTCAGACTCCTCACCTGTAAAGTGAGGATTGCAAGGTCCACCTCACAGGGTCATCAAGATGTACCAGTACATGGCACACAAAGCCCTCAAAACACGGTGGCTTCCCTGCTTCCACTGCCCCTCGGGTCAGCTCGTGGGATGGTCCAGAATGCTGTAGGCCATCTCCATCCTCCCCAGGGTGGAGGCATTACCAAGAATAACCAGCCAGGAGTGCCTTACCAGGGTGAGGGTGGGGAGCTAGCCCAGGAGCGGCTCCAGAGAAACCAGGGAGGGAGCCCGGAGAGTCAGAGGGCATGGGGTTGTTTACCAAACAGCCTGAAAGATGATTCATTTCCGCTGCTTTAGATGAAAAAAGGGACAGAAATAAATCTCCCAGGAGAAGGATGGGAAAAGTGTCCTAGAGTATGAAGGCTGGGGGCAGGGGACATAGGGGGACAAAGAGAGGAGAGGCCAAGGGTACCACTTCTCAGCTGCTAGACGCTGGGGAAAAACCAAAGTTGGGGGCTGGTCCCGGGCACACCAGCCCTCCAGGTCTGTGTACCTTTGTCCCTCTGCGTTGCTCTCCTCTGGCACCTGAGTCCCACAGTCCTGGATATCAACCCATGGGAAAATGTGGCACCTCCTTCACCATGAGGAGCCAGAGATTGAGAGATTCCTTTAGTTTTCCTTCTTCCAATCCTTTATCCCAAGCCTTAAAGTGGGAGGAATTTCAGGCATCCTCAGAGCAAAGGAAAAGAAACCGTCCTACTGTATTTTGCTTGTGATAGGTTTCTTTGTTTCCTTCTTTCGTATCCAGTGTGTTACAGAGAGTTCCACACCATTTGATCACGCTGGAGTTCCGCGGCAGCCAGCTGGGCGAGGGCAGCATGGTATCCTCAGAGGAGAAGTTACCAACATCACAGAACCAGATAAGGGGTGGGACAGGGACCTGAACCCAGTCCTCCTAACGTGCGTTCCTCAGTCCCAGGTTATGTCATCAAACCCCACAGGACAAGTCTGCTCTCCCTTTAGTCCTCCCAATTTCTGGATTTTTTTTTTCATTTTTAAAAATATTGTGGTGCCCTGGCTGGGTGGCTCAGTCGGTTGGAGTGTCGTCTCACACACCAAAAAAGGTTCCAGGTTCAATTCCCAGTCAGGATACATACCTAGGTTGCGGGTTTGATTCCTTGTCGGTGTGCCCACAGGAAGCAACCCATCAATGTTTCTCTTTCACATCGATGTTTCTCTCTCTTTCCTTTCTTCTCTCTCTAAAATCAGTAAACATATCCTCAGGGGAGGACTAAAAATCATATATATTGTGGTAAAATTTCTAGAACATAAAATTGGCCATTTTTTAAGTGTACAATCCAGTGGAGTTAATTACATTCCCAACCTTGTGCAACCATCACCATGATCTATTTCTGAAACTTCTTTATCACCACAAAGAGAAACTCTGTAGCCTGCTCATGGGGACATGACCAAAGCTGAGCTCAGCTCTGTGTTCAGGAACCAGAAGCGGCTCTTAAGGGAAGAGACCTGAGCACTGTGGCCAAGGCTGCTTTCCCCAAGGGGCACGCTGAGCACCGGGGTCGGCGGCCGTGTCTGAGGTACAGCGTGGGCTGAGGAAGCCTCCCTCGCAGGCTCAGTCCATACAACAGCTGCTGGGGTGAGGGGCCGTCTGGGCCCTGGGACAGACTGTCCTCTCTAAATAAAGTCCCCAGGGTCACTCAGAGGACACACATCCAGGCCCGCTCTCAGGACTGCTGTCTGCGTGCAGCTGCGCCCAGCTGCGCCAGGGCTGGAGGAAAGCCTTCAATAACATTCCTAGCCCTGGACTGCGCTCAGCATCCAGGGGAATAGAACACAGCTCCTTTGAAAATTTATATAATCTTGTCTGTTAGTTTCAGAATTTTTTTAAAAAAAATCTAATTGTGGACACACTGTCCACAATGAGAGCTACATTTATTCAGGGATTGCTGTAGTCAGGTCCCTTATATGCATTATTCCATTTAACCTTAAATACAATTATGAGGTGTAGGTTATTTTTATACCCATTTTGCAGATGAGGCAACTGAGACCCTGAGAGAATTTTAGTAAATTTGTCCAAGGTTACCCAGCTGAGATGATGTATACTAAATGATACATACATTTGAGCTGAGATTCAACTCCCAGTTTGCATTGGGCTCTTTCCATCAATGCATAAGGCTGAAATGCATGAAGCTGATTTACAAAAACAGTGCAGTCAAACCTTGGTGCTTGAAGGTTGTCCATCTCAAACAACTCTGTTCTCGGGCAGCCTTCCGCAAGGAACTAGGTTTGAGAACCGAGGTTCCACTGTAATGGCAACGGCGTGCAGTTCAACCTAATACTATGCTTTTAACAGTCTCACCATCAATTTTCATTCACATTTTCATGGAATTGCCTTCTGTTTTTTTAATACATCTTTTTATATGTGATTGGGGCCATATGTCTCATATAATTTTATATCTTTTTAAAGATTTTATTTATTTATGTTTAGACAGAAGGGAAAGGAGGGAGAAAGAGCGGGAGAGAAACATCAGTGGGTGGTTGCCTCTCGCGTGCCCCCTGCTGGGGACCTGGCCCGCAACCCAGGCATGTGCCCTGACTGGGAATCGAACGGGTGACTCTTTGGTGTGCAGACCGGCACTCAATCCACTGAGCTACGCCAGCCAGGGCTTTTTTTTTTTTTTTCTTTACAATGTCTCTTGTATCATTATAGATGCTTCATGACATAATTCTAATGGCCATGTAATATTGCAAGGATATGTACATTTCCTTGTTGGACCATGTGATCATTTTTGAGTTCCATGACAGCCCTGCTATTGTTGGACATATATAACTTATGACAGATTTTTTGCTGTCATACCTAATGCTGTAAAGAGGATCTTTGTGTCCAAAGCTTTCCCCCTCTTGAACGCTGTATTTTCAAGCACCAAAGTCTACTGGCATCGCTCACTGGTTTACTGGTCTCCCTTTCTCCTCTAGGCTTCACGAGGACAGGGCCAGGTTAGCCGCGCCCTCTGTCATTCTTCCAGCACCTGCCTGCCACGAAGCAGGGATTAGAGAAATATTTGCTAAATAACAAAGAAATGAGTATGGGTAAAAAAAAATAAAACAAGAAAGTCAAAGCACTTGGGAACACAAGAGGGTTCCCCTTATTGAAGGAAAGAAATAACAGGCAGGCCTGGGAAACAGCAGAAAATCCAGCAGCCATGCGGGAGAATCTGATCGAGGTTACCCGTTAGTTTATATACACAATGTCACTTTGTCTCC